GCTAACCTTTGTGAATCGGGCTAAAGTAAGGCGATAGTTTTGAACACTGGCTGGTCATGTACTTGCTCAAATATTGATTTCGCATAATTTTTAACCAAAAAAGTGACGGACTGCAGCTTTAAATAAATGCAGGCTTGAGCATAAAGAGACTACACTACACTTCACACAATAGGCCTGTAGGAGGCACTTGGGCTTAATTAACTATGGTAGTTTCATGAAATAATAAACGGTGTATCAATATATATAAATACAGGTGAATTGAACACTACTTCCATTAATGTGACTTCTGGTGCTGCGCGCTTTTGTGTAGTGCTTTGCAGTCGGTTAACATCCATTTTCTCAGTGATGCAATTTGATTTATAAATTGAGACAAACCGCAGATCCAGATCGCTTCAATTAAATTTGTTACAATTAATTTGTTATAATTCATTATTTTAAAAAAAATTGAAATTTAATAGAAGTACTGTATTTAAATTGATTAACGATAAAAATAGATAATGATTCGATTTACAGCACCTTCATAAATTGAATAAAAACATTAAAAAGCCAAAACATACATGATGTGCATTCTTTCTTCGTCATTTTGTAGAAAAAAAGTTGACAATTTTATGCAGTGATGGTCTGGTCACCATCTTGAAAACCATTACTAACATTGTCAATAACTGTTAGATTATAATAAAATAAAATTATAATTTGTAATTATTTAATATGTATTAAAAACGACCATTTAACAGGTGCTGTATAATCCCAATCTGTACGTTTTACTAACTTTCATTTGACGAGCGTTTGTTTTGGGAGACTTTTATTTTGACATGTTTTGACGTGTCGTTGTTTCCGGCTGTTCCGTCATCACACTTTCGAACATGGAGTCTATTTTCCACGAAAAAGTAAGAATCGCGTTTTAGCGAATTATATTTATGACTTATATTTATGTTTCTCACATGTGCTTGACCCGATAAATGAGAGATTCGTCTGCGTGTCAGCGTATCCTTACACGAATGGGCTCGTTCGGGTTTATATGAATGGTTCTTGGACTTTTATCGACTGTCAACAATCCGAAATGGGCTGAAAATCTTTAGAAATGTTTGTTTACTGTCACTTTCATTATTCTCATGTTATGTTTCTGAAAACATCACAGTAACTACGTTTACAAGCATGTACCATAGTACTTCATTATACACTGTAGTACTGAATGAATATCACGTGACTAATACCGTAGTCCACACTAGTTCTGAGAAGTCATGGCACTACATGTTTGCGCTGAAATTCTAAAGTAATGATCAGTTATTATGGGATGTCCTTCAGTGATGTTGCTGTAAGATCAAGAACTGAAATAACCATGTTAGCAGTGTATATGAGTGGCTCAGACACTGCGTCTTTGTGTTTCAGCAAGAGGGCTCTCTGTGTGCGCAGCACTGCTTGAACAACCTGCTGCAGGGAGAGTACTTCAGTCCCGTGGAGCTGTCGGCGATCGCGCAGCAGCTGGATGAGGAGGAGCGCGTGCGCATGGCTGAAGGAGGCGTTCAGACGGAGGAGTACCGGACCTTTCTGCAGGTGCTACACACACGGCTCATTTCAAAGAACAAGTGTCACTGTTATACGTGATCACAGTCGTAATACGCTGCTGTTCTACCATCTTTAGCAACCGTCGGGAAACATGGATGACAGCGGCTTCTTCTCCATTCAGGTGAGTCACGTTTGAGGCACAGGGAAGCAGTTTAGTGGAGTGATGCTGCCAGGACAGTATGTGGACATGGGAGAACACTGCAGCTGCACTACTTCTGAATTCATGTTCCTGGTCTTTTTGTGCATGATTTCCAAAGAATAACAACATGTTTGTCTTTCGTCATACTTTAAAGACTCGCTCTACCTCTGAAACAGCTTATTTTTCATAATGTACCCATCTGATGGTCTGAGTCTGGGTTGCGCTCAGTGTTTCATGTCAGCTCTTCTGCACGGCTCTGGGCAATGCTGTGATGGAGTGAGCGGATGTGCTGCGTTTTGATTGTGTGTTTGAGCGGATGTGCTGTGTTTTGATGGTGT